CCACTGTCATTGATAGAACTTATTGCTCGGCTAGATCATCAACTTCAATGATATTTAATTTCCCGAGGCATTAAACATCAACAAGAGCGCAGATTTTCCATTTAGCAGTCAAGCCACTTATCGCGAAGTCAGCTTTAGAATTGGATATTAATGGTAATGGGATTTGACTAGCCCACAAATAAGAATCGATGACGTTGTTTTTCTTGGAATAGCTGAGTGTTCTGACGGATGAGCTTCCTTGCGGACTATCGGACTTCCTGGACATATCCAGGAAGTTGCTTGCTCTTAGTTAGGTACTAAATGATAGCTGAATTGCCTTAGATTGACATTTATGCTCATTACGAGCGAGCGAGCGCAGCGAGCGAAGTGAGTCTTTTCAATATAACGGGAAAATCTCAGTATGAGCGGCCCGGCCCGGCCCGGCCCGGCCCGGCCTGTAACGCTTTTGAGAGGCTTATATCTCAGCAACCGCTGGACCGATTGGTCTGCGGTCTTTTTTGTTGGGTAGCCCCATCCCTTCTACCCCGTAATTGACTACTTTTGATACATCTCAGTGACCGTCGTGGCACGTGCCACGTGAAAAGTCAAGGGTGTTCAAGCTGTTTTGCAAAAATAGTGATTTTGAGAGGCTCATATCTCAGCAGCCGCTTGGGCGATTGACTTGCGGTAATTTTTGTAGGGTAGCAGCATGCCTTCTATCCAAAATAGGATACTTTCGATGCATGTGGGTCACCCCCAGTGCACGTGCAAAATACAACAATAAGAGGTGCCAAATTTGTTCCCATTTCAGTAACTCGGTAATTAATGGGGCGATTTCGCTGAAACTTGGCATACAGGCAGGCACCCACCAGGCAATGCATTCCCATGTGTTGCGGTTAGGGTGCTACTGCACGTGCGCACGTGCAGGGGGCGTTTCCAGATCTCGAGAACGGCTGGGCCGATTGCGCTCAAATTTGGTACACGGTTGGGGACCAGTCAGTAGGGTGCCGTGCAAAAGTCATTTTGGACCCCGTTTGCACGTGCGCACGTGCAGAATGCCGCTTCCAGATCTCAGGAACGGCTGGGCCGATTGCGTTCAAATTTGGCACACCGCTAGCGACCAGTTAGAAGGGTGCTTTGCGCAAGCCCGTTGGAAGCACCCTCTCGCCCTTCCGCACGTGCAAGGGCTCACTATCTCGCTCGCTCGTTCTTCGCCCAAAAGGCGTTTTACTGGTTTTATGAGTATTGATAAATTTTCCATTGCTTAGGTACCGATACGATGATTAAACCAAACCAAGTATGTATATTGTATAAGCCAATGAACTACTTTCCGCCTCCGTTTCTATGTTCTTACTACCAAGATTGAAAGTGGCCAATCCAAGTCATGTACATAAAAGCATTTTTGGCTTTTAACCCGGCAGTTGCTGGGGTATTTCGCCACCCACCGTTTGCTGGGGGGGGGGGGGCGTTAAACGCCCCCAGCCGATAACTCGAGAACCAATAGGCGCAGCGAAACGCGCGAGGCAGCAAACGAAAGAGCGCGACGAGACGCTTCAGATGAGTACTTTAAAGTTGAATTTTGAGGTCACAGGTCGGGTCAAGGTCAGGTCAAACACCTGAAATCGGGCTTTCAGTAGCATGGACTTCAGGACTTCACAATGGGCGCCTCTCGCCATAAACTCTGTCAAAACGGTGCACAATCCACCCTATAAGGCCTACAAGAGTGTCAGCTCCATATAAAGGTCAGTCAAGCATAGGTCAGGGTCAAGGTCAGGTCAACCGGGCAGGCACATATCCCCGAAAATCAAAACTGATATTCGCAGCCTGTGACACATGTTTTATAGGTAATTTGGGGCGTAGAACACGATGGTGACATTCATTTTATCATATGTGTACGTGTTTGGCTCAAAAACTTCAATTTAAGAAATTCATGTATCATGGTCGTGAAGTAGTCACGAGAAATTGCCAAGATTCAGTTCAAGATTTTGGAAAATGCGGAACGATAATCAATAATCGAAGATAGCCATTTGATTGATCATGGTATTGGCAGTCTAATGGCGTTTACGGCATGTCTGTATGTCTATTCTGTGATTTTATATGATTTTTTGAACATATGCCGTTTTTGGTCGAAAACTCCGAAATCATGACGTCACTAAAACCTCGATATCTCAAAAATTTTCCGACCGATTTTTTTGAAACTTTGTCACAATAAACTTCAATCAATGTCCTACAGGTACCCAAAATTTGGCGCGCCTGCGGCGCGCCGTTTTTATGCTATGGCCCGGCGAAAAAAGTGGGGGCGTTTAACGCCCCCCCCCCCCCAGCAACTCGCGGGTTAACCCGCGCCCTGATGGGGTCTGCCGAGCAACGCGGTCTGATGGGGGGGGGCATTTTGCCCCCCCCCCCTAAGATCTCGAGAACCACGCAACATAGCGACAAGCGGCAAACGGCGTTGGATAGCCCCAACGGCGAACTACCTTGTGACCTACTTTCATTGACCTCGGTCTAACAGATGACGTCACAGGTCAGGTCAAAGGTCGATTTTTTACCGTTTACAGGCATTTCAAGAAATGCGTTGTAAAATCGAGTAAAATGCATTTCATTGAAAATCATCGATGAGGAAATGTTCGTCAAACACATATTTTGCTATTTACGGTCACTGATACCAGGTCAGGTCACAGAGGTCAGGTCACTGCGGGTCACAAATTAAAAATATCATGTGATGCATGTTTTATGGTCCATTTCATATGCCAAATGCGATTATGTGGGACAGGCAGCCCTTGGGGTCAGTTGAGATTATGTTTTTGGTGAAGGTCAGGTCAAGGTCAGGTCAAGGTCAGGTCAAATTAGGTCAAATTTCAAAGTTGATATTTTTGAATAAAATGGGTATCGATTCGATGCAGCTCATCACGGGGAGTTCAATGGTGGTCTTTGTTTTGCGCTACGTGGTCTAGAATCGCTAAAAAATTGAGTTCAAAAATTTGACGTCATCAATTTTGAACCGTTTTTTTCGCTATAACTTGGCCAAAAAAGGAGGTATCGATCTAAAATTTGGTATGTATATGGAAGAGCGCAGGGACTATCACATATATTCCGGTTTTTTCGAAATTCGAAAAATTTTCGGAATTTTTTTGTGTTTTTCCAAAAAAAATCAATTTTCTTTTATTTTTGGGGGTCAAAATCCCAAAATTTTGAAAATCCGAGATAACTGTTTTGTAGCGCCGTCTTTTCTCTACATAACCACGTAAAGAACGTTAAAATTGCTTGTTAACTTAGATTTGGTTAGCGTTTCAAGATGTCATGTTTTTTGCCCATTTTTACTCGAACATGACCTCAGTTTGACCTCAATAACTCCTGACCCAAGGTGACCTGTGACTTGAAATTTTGTGTGAAGGTGTCAAATTGATGTTTCAGGGAAGGTATCCAAAATTTGGCGGCCGTTTTCTCGCTATTTAAGAAAAACCCCAGGGGGGGCAAAATGCCCCCCCCCCCCGGGTTAAGCCGGCGCGGGTTAAGCCGACGACTTTTTTACATGACTCATTGACAACAAGCTTTTAAGAAAGTACGCGAAGTCATCTTCCCAGGAATGAAATAAGTTATGAAATCCTTATCATTTAATCAAAAGTTCATTCTAGATCGATCCATTATCGTTTTCAAACGAAGTTATTTGACAGATTTGCAGCATATCTGGGTCGTATGTAAATACATGATCTCTTTTCTGTCTGGTGATAGAACTCTGTTGTGACGCATCATGTTTGAAACGCTGGAGGTCTGTCAATAAAGGCGAGCCCGCATTAACTGCAGGTCTAGCTGTGGGATAGCTGGTGCAGCTGCGGGCCCGACCATCGGGCTGGTGTGTCCTTTAATTTCATCAATCGTAGCAATGTTATGGAGATGGATCTTTCCAGTCCATTGCCCTGTGATGTCATCCGCTAGTCCATAAGCTATTGAACAAACCGAGATGGACTCGCGCAGGCCAAGGCGCAGTGATGGACATTTATCTTTGGAGAACGGAGCATTGGGATATTCTTTTCGATTTGCAAGGTCATCGATCAATCAAAATATCGGAAGTGTGCAACAGTTGCCCTCTACCTCTTACTCGGGATCTCTGTCTCCCTCTCTCTCTCCCCTCTCTCTCTCTCTCTCTCTTTCTCTCTCTCTCTCTCTCTTCTCTCTCTCTCTCTCTCTCTCTCTCTCTCTCTCTCTCTCTCTCTCTCTCTCTCTCTCTCTCTCTCTCTCTCTCTCTCTCTCTCTCTCTCTCTCTCTCTCCTCTTTCCCACAGCACACCGTGTTGTTAAATGTTCCAGATGACGTTTGCTATGATTACTTAAACCCAGCATACACAGCTATTAGATAATCTTACGAGTTTGTGCAACAGCATGATGATGTGGTCGATGCACTTGTCACGCTAGTGAGCGCCTCCATAAACTTTACGCTATCGATAGGAGGTAAACAGTTGGTACACACCATAACCGCTCGTTCCGGTACGGCTAGTGCGGGCTCCGGAGGACTTATTTGGGACTTGATTTGACACCAGTGTGCACAATCATGGCAGAAGAAACGCTCTCCGATCTCTTGCATATAAGCAATCGGGGATATTTACGACTAAATGTATTGCCCGCGAAAGATGCTCAGACTGTTTCAGAGAGAGAGAGAGAGAGAGAGAGAGAGAGGAGAGAGCGAGAGAGAGAGAGAGGAGAGAGAGAGAGAGAGAGAGAGAGAGAGAGAGAGAGAGAGAGAGAGAGAGAGAGAGAGAGAGAGAGAGAGAGAGAGAGGAGGAATGGGTCATTGAAAGAGACCAATTCCGAGACTTCAGAGACCGACACCGATAAATTTTAGTTGCGATAAGAGTCCAGATTTCAACCGAGCTCACCCCTAAATGGCATTCTAAGACAGTTCTCACCTCGCTCTGGGACTGCTCACTGCTCAGTAGAGCCCTCCCCCCCCCCCGACCAGACTCCCGCTCCACCAAACCGCTCACACCCAGCACCCCTCTCCAGACCACACCGGGAACTACTCACGTCGGGATCCACGTCCCTGGTGAGCAGCTCTATCTCCTCTGCGGTCAGCTGGTCCAACATGTCGTCCATGTCCATGTTGTCATACTCGCTGAGGTCCTTGCCAAACAGCTTCTTGTTGGCCCCCATCTCCTGCATCGCCACGGAACGGACGGTAGTGTCGAGTCAGACACTTGACAGGGATACATTCACTAGCTTACATTATTATTGACCGGCATCATATCGAAAGAGCAACTGAGGCCTGAGAGCCGTATTCGGGGGAAAACTGTGCTGAGACAGACACACAGACAGACAAACAGAAAGATAAGCGGACAGTTGTGTTCCAATCCAACACATTTATATGGTCCAAGCAAGGTAAAATATACGGAATACATTAGTTAATGGTCAGCTTTGTCTGCACAAACATTACTTAGAATGGAGTGAGTTTAGGAAAACTTTTTCTTTTACGTACCTACTGGGCTTATGTAGCGATCTAAATCTTACCTAAGCTGATCTAATGTGAAGGGGCCGTATCACGGGACTCAGGTGATCAGGTCTCAACAAATATGTCAGATACTAAACACATTTCCGGTGGATATTGAAATCAACTATTCGCCACGGATCAAAATAAACTGTGAGCGTTTGCCATTGACCAAAAATGCAAAGAGGCGTCCTACTATATAAATTCGGAACAGAATATCAGTACTGACTCATAAAACAGTTAACATTTTACAGCAGTAAATTAATCATTGACATTGATGACATTGATCATTGACATTCCAGTGACACAACAATAACCGCAAAAGCACAGTCCATGCATCAGTGAAGTACAGCAGTGACCTTTCCGCCGCCGGGGAGGGGGAGTGTGAGGGGTCTGACCGTGGAGCTGAAGAAGCTCTCCAGGTCGGAGGGCTCAGCACTCGGGAACGCTGACGTCGTGCCATGGTGCACTGTCGTCGAGCTGATGGAGCTCCGGCTCTGAGAGGACACTCGCGCACTGTACATGTTGGACGTCTTGCCCATCTCGGGCGCGAGTGTGGCGAGTTAACAATCACAGCACACCCCGGTCCGTGAGATCAGGTCAGGTCAGGTCAGGTCACTACGGCGCTCGGAGCCGCTCAGGACACTGTTAGGAGGAGGGCTCCGCCGCCGCCACAGCTCGGGCCACACTAGTCGCCGTCAGCGCGGCCGGATTCCAGAAATGTTCCAGACGGGCGGCCCGACGGGCGTGGAGCCGGTGCCGGGTGCCAGGGGCTGACGGAGAGAGGGAAAGGGAGAGAGAGAGGGGAGCAGGAAACCACCACCGGCATACCTGGATACCGAGCCACCGGGCAGTCTGGTCAGCATCATGTCAACAGTCGCCCGCAAGCATAATCTGTGGAATCCATCGCTCTGAAAAAGGCGGCCGGTCTTCCGAATGCTGTGGGATTGGCCTGCCGGCCGGCCAGAAATAGACACCTGAAACAAACACAACGGAGCTCGCCCGTCTGACGCAGCCCAGAGACGTGAAGAGGGTGCTGGTTAGAGCAGGTAGCAACTCGAGTGACTCGAGCGGTTAGAATCTCACAGCACAGCAAACACACCCATCAAAAGCAGGCGGAAGGGCATGCCGACAAAAGTGCAGTGAGGGTACACCTGAAGTTTGCTGAGAGAAGCATTAGCAGAGTTGAAAAGGCCGTAGCAAAAAGATGTGAATAGATAGAGTCTGCAGCTGTCGCGGACGACCGCTGGCAGATGACAGCAGATGACAGCCGCGGAGGGCCGTCCGGCCGCGGGCGGTCAGTTCGATGGACCGGCACAGCTCGCCGGCAGACCCGAGCGAGCGTCACCTTGGAGCGCAGCGCCTCCACCAGCGGCTTGGGGTTGTAGGTGGTCTTCTTGACGGTGCGGGTGGTGGTCGTAATCTCCTCATACTCGCTGTCACTGTCGTCGCTGCCGGCGCCGGCCGGCTCCGGCTGATCGTGACCCCAGCGGTCCCGGTCCATGGTGCTCCGCGCAGTACCGTGCTCTGACCAGTCACTGGGCGGGGTGGGGCATCAGTGAATCTCCAGTCACTGGTAGGGATGGGGGCATCAGTGACTGGTCACCGCACAACAGCGCAAGTCGCTCGGTGGACCTGCGAGCCGCATGGATCCGATGCAACTCGCTGCATGCATGACTAGGGCAGCACGTAGTAAACCATCTTTAAACTAAACGGCTGTCACTAATCGATCTACGCTAGCTCATTCATTATCGAAAGCTACAAGGGATATGTGGTTTGTGCTATCGAGCTGCAAATGAAAACAGCTTCACTTAAAACACTGCCATAGTGCCATGCATCCGTTCCCTAAGAAGAGTTCAAGTGTCTCGTTTCATTGAAGGACAACAATGTTCAGCGCTATGAAAACAACCGATATTTACGAACATTCTTGTGGGCAATGTGAGACTTAGTAAACAAGTAGTTGTTGCCCATGGTCATTGGCGTAAGGACCATGCCGCATTAACCTCAGTTTCGTAACATCGTTGGAACTTGATATTCAAAAATGCATGATGTAATAAAGAAATGATCCACGACAATTATTTCTATCTGAAAGACTAAACAGTTTCTGATTGTGCAAAATTAAGCTATGTAAATGGGAGCAAGCGACTCGATTCGAGTTCCTTCGACCTTCGTTTTAAAGACAGACCACAGCGGTCTATCATTTAGAATTAAAATACGTAGGAATTTTATAATGTCCAGTTTACATGAAATTCCTTGATTAGGTAAATATGTTCAGAATGTACTCAATGAGCCTTTCGATGTGTGTGCTTTCTGGCATACATGTAGGTAAAGAAATCATTCAGAAATTTTGCATCAAAGTCATCACGTTAATAAGGTCTACAATTAAAATACGGATGTTTCCTAGCAAGGAAGCGTATTCTGCTTTAGACAGATTACAGCAATTTTGAAATATTGCTGTCATATAGGAAACATGTGTATGAATTGTGAACTGTGCAGTTTTTTATTGTCATCGCATGCATCTTTCTTTGTCTGGCTCGCCACTCCCCGCCGGCTCTCTGTCCGGTGCAGTTTCCATAACTGGACCTGGCGCTGCCCCTTCCCCTTCCCCTCCCCTCCCCTCCCTCCGTCGGCGGACAGTTTTAGCCGGGCGGCGGACACACCCGCTCCCGTTGGGCGGCCTATACATAGGACCTGGAATGATCACGTGCCGCGCGACCGGCCCACACAGCTGAGCAGGCTGTCAACCTCTAGCTGGAAAATGAGACGTCCGTCAGCTTTTTGTCGATCCGGTCAATTAATGTGACCCATTTCGTGGCGTTTCGAGGATGCTTTTACATTTCTGATAAAGTTTTTGCTTGAAGATCAAAAGCCTTACTACATGCGTCACGACTTTTTGGTGCATTCGAGCACGTTCATTCTGCAACTGCATGTAGTGTGGAGAATGTGTACCTATTGACGATTTGATTCGTCAGCTAATGGAATATATTCAATGATTCAGTAATAATATTGATTGCTGATCAAACGTCACATGCCTCCCTCAGGTAGATACCAATAGAAACACAGTGCACATTGCACACTGGACGTTTCATTCGGACGTTTAATTTTGGTATAAACATATTGTGACGGCCGACGGGTAACACAGCACAATCGGCTGGACGCGTTTCGTCACATTGACTTTATCAACACCCCTTTTCGGAAGACGAAACAATAAAAACACACACAATAATAACACTTTCATCAGCTTATAATAAAGTAGTTCCTTCCTCATATGATACAATTTATTACAAAATATTAACTTTTAGCAGGTTTTCTTGTGTGTGTTTGCATTGTTCTATTTCCGAAACAGTGTTGATAGTCAATGTGACGAAACGCGGCCACCCGATGGTGCTATGTTACCCGTCTCAGTATATATCTAGCGTGCATATGTGACCGCCAGATATGAATACCTGAAGCAAATGCAACTAACATCATGATTTCATACTAATGAGAAGGGGCCAGTCAATCAATCAACTAATTAATTGCGTCAACCTCAATATAATATCAGCTCCGTCCATTGTCCATTGTCCAGTGTCCACTGCCAGTGTGTCCGACGGCTAAGTGGCAGATCGGAGTCCAAAATCAGACCGAGTCTCCCACTCCTGGCCAGCTCAGCTGCACCGGTCTCGTGGGCGGTTTTTCTTTGGCACCAGATAACAACCGAAACTTCAGCTGCCAGCGGACTGACGAGTAGGACTGCGGAAATTCCAGCCGGAGAGAGGCTGAGAGAGACTCCAGCTGGCAGCAGACTGGAGTGGGAGGGGAGAGGGAGAGGGAGGGAGAGAGGGAGGAGAGAGAGTAGAGAGAGAGGGAGAGAGAGAGAGAGAGAGAGGCAGTGATTGTGTTGATTCCGTGGTCAAATGCAGCTTCCAACATCCAACCGCCGTGGTCCCTAACATCAAGATTCGACTCAAGTTGAGTAGTTTCCTAGACTAGCTGCATTCAGACCTTAACCCTCGCCGGACCTATTGGTTTTCTACATACGCGCCGGCCGAGGGGGGCGGGTACGACCCCCCCCCCTCGCCGTTTCGCCCCTGGTGGAGCTAGCGCGTCGCGGAAAAAACGAGCGTGTGCGCCGTTACGAGACGCAGAGATTGGTACCCGATTTTAAGGTCCTAGGTCAACCGGTGACCTCTGAGGTCAGGTCAAGTGCCCCAGGGTACGGTTCAGTGTTTGGTGAATAACTTCGCAAAAAACGGCCGCAGAGCGCCGATTTTGGCAGCATCGTGTTCGCCTCGCTCAGGCGCGTCGAATGATATACTTTTTGTCCGGGTCAGGTCAACTTGGGGTGTTGACCTCAGGTCAAGGTCAGGTCAGCACCCCCAGGTCACGAAGTTGGTCGAAAGAGGTCATGTCGCATATCATTCGATTCGGCAGGTCTTCCTGAGTCCATTGGTGGCTTTCCCGACTCGCTAGCTCAATTTGATCAAGAGTTATTAACGAAAAACTAATATGACCTTGATGACGTCATAAATGACGTCACGCAAGGTCAACATTGCAAAAGTGACGCATCTAGCCTTGCAAGGAGTGCATAAAATCACGATTCTATGTGCTTGAGATAGTTGGAGATCGTTCCCGGCGCAGAATAACAGTTTTCATTTTTCCCCATTGACTTATAATGGTGAGGTCACGAAAATGACCTGACCTCATATGACCTTTAGGAAAAATCCGAGATATACAAGTTGTGGGACTCATAATGGATACTAGATCCTGCAAGTTTCATTTCCCTGTGACATCTCCTCTGGCAGTGAGGGCGTTGGAAGTTGCGACATCTGAAGACCGTGCAGAGGTTCACTTATGACGTCATAGGTCAGTGACCTGACCTGACCCAAAAATGCGGTTGGTTGTCAAAAGATGCGGCTTGGATCAAAGGTCAGGTATGCCAAGTTTCAGCTCTCTATCGCCAGCGTGTTCTGAGCTATCGCGAAAAAACCCTATGGGGGGCGGCACCCGCCCCCCCCCCCCTCGGCCGGCGAGGGTTTAGACTAGTTAGAGAGCCTGGCAGGTCATCTACGAACTGCCATGTCAGGTGGTCAGCATAATGGCACCCTGCAGGTTTAACTATACATTCATTGCGACCATGTATAATTCCA